GCACCACCAAACAGCCCTTGTGGAACCTCACTGACACCCACGTGCAAGAGAACGCTCGCCCGGCTTATTTCCTCTGCATCCTCCTTTCACTCACCAATATATCAGCCTTTTGGTTATAGGCTCCTTCCCACCCTCCCGAACCCCAGCACACAGTTTTGTTCTGTATCCAAAAATAAAAATGCCCTTGAAAACACAAGAGGCGGGGGGGAATAACCTAAAAAACGTGATGTCAGGGGTCGTCAGGTGCAGGCCGCTAGCATCCGGCTAATTAATGCACGAGTTTCTGAATCTAACCATGCAGCAAAATACCTACAGCTTATTAAAAACCAAATATGCTTGTCTGTGCTGGGACTATTTCTGGAAGGACACATAAGAAACCGGTAACAGTGGTTGCCTCTGGGGAGAACTGATCATTTAGTGGTTTTTTAAATTTGCTGTTTTCTTTTCTTGTATTATAAAAATCACACATTAAGCTGTAAAAAAGCTAATGACATGTCTTAGAGATCTTTAATGGCACACGTATAGACTTACCCTTTTCTTCCAACTGGCTACGGATTTATTTGACCCAGCATTTGTCAACCTCAGCACTACTGACATTTGGGGCTGGGTAATTTTTTGGTGGGGACTGTCCTGTAGTACGGTTAGCAGCATCCTGTCCCCCACCCACAAAATGCCAGGTGCTACTAAGCACCTCCCCAGGCACAATAACCAAAAATGTCTCCAGATGTTGGCAAAGATCCTGGGGGGTGGGGGGGGGGCACCCCCTCTGGTCAGGAAGTACCACCTTACACAATCTTTTACTGATGGGCATTTGTCACATCCCCAGTTCTTTGCAAGTACACATCATCCTGCAAAAGAATATTCTTGGACAAGCTGCTTTCTGCATGTATGTACATTTCTGAAAGGTTCTCAGAAGTGAAATTATGAAGTGAAAGCATATTCACAGGCAAGATTTTGATATTTGCTGCCAAAATGCTATCCAAAAAAAAAAAAAAAAAAAAAAAAAAGATGAGTTCCCCCGCATAGGGAGTCTTGCTCACACAGATTATTATCAGTATTTAAAAAGAAAGGAAATGATATCTTTTATTTAATCTTAATTTCCCTGATAACTAGTGGGCTGAATATCTTTTCATAAGTTTATTATAGATTTGACATTTATATTCTGAATATTAACCTATTGCCTGTTGCAGATATTGCAAATATATTCTCTCAGCTGCCTTTAGTTTTTATCTTTTCTATTACTGAAATTAAAATTTTTTATGCAGTCGAATCTACACATTTTTTATAGCTTCTGGGTTTTGTGGGTTTTTTTTTTTTTAAATGCTTCTTTATTTATTTTGAGAGAGAGTGAGTGGAAGAGGAGCAGAGAGAGGGAGGGAGACAGGATCCCAAGCAGGCTCCGCACTGTCAGCACAGAGCCCTAAGTGGGGCTCGAACTCACGAACCGCGAGATCATGACCTGAGCCGAAATCAAGAGTCGGATGCTCAACAAACTGAGCCAACCAGGCGCCCTGGGGTTGTGTCTTAAGCTCCACCTGCAGGTTCTGGTCCCAGTTTCTGCTGCTTCTCTGGGCACACTGGGCTCCCAGAGTGCCTCAAGGGCTGCCCCCCGCTCAGGTGGGTCCCCAGTATTCTCTCTGATGGA